TTCTTTGCATCCTGCTCAAAGGAGGCACAATATCAAAGGAAGTACTGGTCCTAGACCATAGGAAGGTCTAATTCCAACAAGCAAATAGCTTACTAAATTGCCTGATTGTTATCTTAAGTGCATATCACTAACAAGATAGAGCACATTAAGATTTCAATTCTTGTCTGCACATAACTGCACATTTTATGACCTACAGCAAGTAATCTAGAGAAAGGAATGTATGGACCATCTTATTTTCTTTATCATCCTCCTCCTCAGGCAGGCATACTCATTCCTTACACACACAATGAATTGTTTCTCTAGGTACTGCAAAAAGAAAAGGAGTACTTGTGGTACTATCGGATGCATGAAGTGAGCTGTAGCTCACGAAAGCTTATGCTCAAATAAATTTGTTAGTCTCTAAGGTGCCACAAGTACTCCTTTTCTTTTTGCGGATACAGACTAACACGGCTGCTACTCTGCAACTTCTCCAGCTACTGTTATTGCTGAGCATGACCAGATTGTTTATGTTCCCACAATCATAACCAAGGGGATGAGATTTCTACTCCTTCCTTCCTTGTGCACCCAAAACAAAAGCAAAACCCCCCATGTTTTCACCTTTTCATTACTTTACACTTCACTAAGACCAGGTCTACATTTGCTGCTATAGCTATACTGATAAAAGCACTTTATGTTGCTATAACTACACTTTAGAATCATAGGGTTAGAAGGGGCTGCAAGAGTCATCTAGTCAGACCCCTTGCCAAGATGCAGGATTTATTGCGCCTACACCATCCAAGACATCTTTTTGAAAACCTCCAGTGAAGAAGCTTCCACAAGGCAGTCTGTTCCATTGTCCTACTGTTCTTACACTTAGGAAGTTTTTCCTGAGATTTTACCTAAATCTGCTATGCTGTAGTTTGAACCCATTACCTCTTGTCCTGCTCTCTGTGGCAAAAGAGAACAACTTTTCTCCATCTTTTTTATGGCAGCCTTTCAAGTATCTGAAGACCACTATCATATCCCCCTTAATCTCCTCCTTTGCTTATATGGCTTGCATTTCATCCCTTTAATCATCTTTGTCGCCGGCCCCTGGATCCTTTCCAGTTTCTCTAAATCCTTTCTATACACTGGTGACCAACACTGGACACCGTACTCCAGCTGGGGCCTAATCAGTGCAGAGTAGGGCTGTACTATCACCTCCCATGCTATGCGTCTGTTAATGCAACCTAAAATTGCATTTGCTTTTTTTGCAATAGCATTATGTTGCTGACTGATGTTGAGGTTGTGATCCACCACAACTCCCAGATCCTTCTCAACAGTTCTGCTCCCAAGTTTTCCCCCATTCTGTATTTGTGCATTTGGTTTTTCTTCCCTAAGTATAGCACCTTACATTTGTCTTTGTTGGGTTTCATTTTGTCGTCTATAGCCCAGTTCTCCAATTTATTAAGATCCCTGTGAATTTTAGCTCTATCGTCCAAAGTATTGGCAAATCGCCCCCCAGCTTTGTGTCATCTGCAAACTTGATCAGTATGCTCCCTATACCTCCATCCAGGTCATTAATAAAGGTGTTAAACAACACTGGGCCCAAAATAGATCCCTGTGGAACACCACTTGAGACCTCCCTCCAATCTGACATCATTCCATTAATAGTTATTCTCTGTTTGTGGTTGTTTAACCAATTATGTACTCACTTAATGGTATTTCTGTCGAGCCCACATTTCTCCACTTACACTAGGGATTTTCTCAGTATAGAAATGTTGCGCCATCTCCCCAAATCACTTCTATACCTGACACTGCTATACTTGCAAAAGTCTCAAGTGTAGACCTGGCCTTAATATGTTCACGCAGATACACTTTCATTTAGACGGTCACAAAAGTTCATTATACCTTTGAATTCTTCACATTACCCTCCTTTTACACAAAGCAACACATTGCAGTTCTAATACCGATCTTGGTGAAAGCAATAATTCAACTGTAAAAAGTAGGCACAGTGAGTCTAAAATACCACACAGCTATTCCCACATAACTGAGTTAAGAAACAGAACAGGATAACTGATTATCTAGATTAATTTCTCCTAAAACAACAATTCCTGTATGAATTCTTCCCAGATTTAAGGCCTTAAACTATAAAAGCTAATGTTAGGGGGCCAATTTATATAACAAAACAGAATTTGGCCTGGTGTTTTTGGAATACATTATAGGTAGTAATGAAAACACATTTATTCTCAAAAATTAGGGACAAGGAGTACAAAACTCACCTATGATTCTGACTGTTGCTCTTGTATATACATTAACTTTTTCTGTTTGTGAAATCTCATTAATTACTATCTAGAATTCAAAACCAGATAGCATCAAAACGCAGTAGGACTAGATTCAGCAAGATGACTGCTCAGTTGCGGTCTCCCTCATAGATTTACTCTTTTAACACACAGGAATTCTGTTGAAATGTATAATTTGCATAGCATCTAGAAATCCAAATTAAGGATCAGCACCCCATTTTGTTAGCCTTGTTTCATGTAATAAAGGACAGCTGCAAACAATGAGTGCTCCGACCTCAGCAATAAGTTTGCTCAGGTTATGTCTACACTTCAGCAGCACAGCTACCGCATGGCAGCCATGCTGCTGTAGTGCCGTAGTTTAGATGCTTCCTACATCAACGGAAGGGGTTTTTCCATCAGTGCAGTTAATCCACCTCTCTGAAAGGCAATAGCTAGGTTGAGAGGAGTCTTAGGCCATGCCTACACTATGGGCACAGGCTCGCCGATAGCAATTCTGGGCCCCAAGGCCAGGGCCGTCCCTGGGGAGGGGGAGGAGGGAGGACCGGGGCGGAAGTGAGGAATCCATCACTTCTGGGACCGCCTGTCACTTCCGGGACTGACCGAGCTGGCCAATCGTGCCAGCCCACTGGACCCCCCAAAGCGCAGGGCCCAGTGTGGTCAGGAGTGCCTAGGAGCCCTCTGGCCAGCGGTGAAAGTAAGTTAAAGGATTTAACGGTATGCCGGAGTCCTGAGCAGGGGGCGTGCTCTCAACCGGAAGAAGCACAGCTTTAAATCCCCGGGCCCTTTAAATCACCCCAAGCTACCAGCTGCAGAGGCAGCTGGGAGCCCTGGGGCTCGGGGGCGATTTAAAGGGCCTAGGGCTCCAGCTGCTGCTATGGCAATGGAGCCCCAGGCCCTTTAAGTCACCGAGGAGCCCTGGGGACTCCTGGCTGCCACCGCTTTCCCGGGGCTCTGGACTCTGGCAGAGCTTTAAAGGGCCTGGGACTCCGCTGTGGTAGTGGCTGCCGGAGCCCCGAGCCCTTTAAATCCCCGCCTGAGCTCTGCTGCCCGAGCCCTGGGGTAGCGGCGGCTGGGCTCCGTCGGGGATTTAAAGGGCTCGGGGCTCCAGCCGCCGCTATCGCCTCGGCCCTTTAAATCCCCGCCAGAGTCCCGCCATCACTACCCCAGGGCTCGGGCAGCAGGGCTCAGGCTGGGATTTCATAGAATCATAGAATATCAGGGTTGGAAGGGACCTCAGGAGGTCATCTAGTCCAACCCACTGCTCAAAGCAGGACCAATCCCCAATTAAATCATCCCAGCCAGGGCTTTGTCAAGCCTGACCTTAAAAATTTCTAAGGAAGGAGATTCTACCACCTCCCTAGGTAACGCATTCCAGTGTTTCACCGCCCTCCTAGTGAAAAAGTTTTTCCTAATATCCAACCTAAACCTCCCCCACTGCAACTTGAGACCATTACTCCTTGTCCTGTCCTCTTCTACCACTGAGAATAGTCTAGAACCATCCTCTCTGGAACCACCTTTCAGGTAGTTGAAAGCAGCTATCAAATCCCCCCTCATTCTTCTCTTCTGCAGACTAAACAATCCCAGTTCCCTCAGCCTCTCCTCATAAGTCATGTGTTCCAGACCCCTAATCATTTTTGTTGCCCTTCACTGGACTCTCTCCAATTTATCCACATCCTTCTTGTAGCGTGGGGCCCAAAACTGGACACAGTACTCCAGATGAGGCCCCAGGGCGGTAGCGTGGGCTGGAGCCCCGGGACTCTTTAAATCCCTGCCAGAGCCCCGCCACTGCTACCCCAGGGCTTTAAATTGCCATCTGGGAAAGCCGGTCCCGGTACGGCGCACCGGCTCTTGCCGATACACTGTACTATGCCTTCCAGCTTACTTTCACCTCTGCCTGCGGCCCACTCTGGCAATTTAAAAGGGCCCAGGGCTCCCAGCTGCCACTACCGCAGCAGCAGCTGGGGGCCCCTGGACCTTTTTAAATTGCCTGGGTCTGTGGGGAATTGCCCCCTTTGCTCCCCCACTGTCAGCAGGCCTGTATGGGCACTATGCCACTATAGCATAGATGTTTCCTACATCGACAAAAGAGTTTTTCCATTGATATGGGTAATCCACCTTCCCAAGCAGCAGTTTGGTTGACTGAAGAATTTTTCCATTGACCTAGCCAGGTCCACAATGGTGGGGTTACGTCGGCTTAACTAAGGCACTCAGGAGTGTGAATTTTTCACACTACTGAGCAACCCAGTTAGGTCAATCCAAATTTTAAGTGTAGACCAATGACAGTTCTGTTGATTCATAAGACAGAAAAGAATCCACTTTGGTATGTTTCCAGACTCCTGTGTGGTCCTGGCTGCAGGGCTTACAGTAGGAAAAACAAAACAAACAAAAACCTTACTTTTTAAATAATTAGGCAAGCAAACCATCTACCTTCCCTCCCAAATATACCTATTGTCTTCATAACAGACTCTTCTGTTCTGCCCATCTGTTCCTAACAGTTCATCTATTCTGGATTCTTAAAAAAATAAAATAAAATAAATAAAAAAACAACACACCACACACCTCAATACTTCTGTATAAATAAAAAAAGACTTTGATTATGGAAGTTTTTTCAGTTTCCAAATTGGAAGTGTAGTATTGCTAGCTTTTACCTATAAATTCTTCTACCCACTACAGGACCCTTCCCGCAGTGAGTTTCCAGCATAATGCATATAAATGGTGAATTTAAGAACGAAAATTAACCTGGAGGACTGAGACACTGAAGAGCCTCTGTGTGTTCCAGGGCCTGTAAGAATTCCATCAGTTCCACCACAGTGCAACCCCTTTCACCCATTAGTCTCAGGAGACTCCAACTGGGGCTTCCGTCTGGCTCCAGTACTTTGAGAGAACATTGTTCCAACTCCAGAGAACTGCAAAAAATAAAATAAAAATGTTAAGTGCATTTGTGTGTATGCCAGCTGATCAATTTAAAATGGAGAAAGAGAAACCTGATCTCTGTGCAATACTCATACCTAATTTTGCCCCGATGAGATTGCCTTGTACGGAAATATTGATAAAACTGAATATGTGAAAGTAAATATTCATTTTTGCAGGGGAAATTACTGACAGGAATCTGGTTCATTACTACAAATACAAGATCTTCCTGATGTACACTTCTGACTCCAATTAAGCAGTGGATTTTTATATATGAATCTAGTAGAGATTATTCCACTAATGTGAGGTATGTTCCCAGTTCTATATTTTATTGTTTCCTGGAAGTATTTAAAGTATCTTACACATATGCAGCATCTCATCTCAAGAGGATTTCAAAATACATGACAACTGTATACAAATCATACACAGCCACTTTAATTAAGCTGCCTGGAATGAAGGTGAACTGCATGCCACACAAAGAATATTTGTGTGTAGAACAATTCTAGCCAATACAGTGGGCAGACTCCTCCACTTGTAGGCAGGACTTCACTTTTCATGATCTCCTCTGAAAAACCAAATACCTGTGCAAAAACCTTTCCATTTACGGTGTGCCGACTTCAGAAGCAATAAACAATGAGTCACCAATGGCAGGATTTAAACTGTGGTTCCAGGAAGACACTATTTCAGATATGATGCTTTCATCACTGATGTACTGCTATAGTTTAAGAAAGATTAAATATTAGACATTTGCCTAGTGGGTCTTGCCCACATGCTCAAGGTCTAACTGATCACCACATTTGGGTCAGATTGGCTGAGATCAATCTGATAGTTTGGTGGGATAGTTCAGTGGTTTGAGCATTGGCCTGCTAAACCCAGGGTTGTCAGTTCAATCCTTGAGGGTGCCGTTTAGTTGATCTGGGGCAAAAAATGGGGATTGGACCTGCTTTGAGCCGGGGGTTGGACTAGATGATCTCCTGAGGTCCCTTCCAACCCTGATATTCTGTGATTTCACCTTCCTCTGCAGCATGGGTTACTTGCAAGTTTAAACTAGTGCAAATGGTGAATTCTCCGTAACTTTAAGTCTTTAAACCATGATTTGAGGACTTCAGAAACTCAACGAGAGGTTAGGGGCCTTCTGTGGCCTGCAATGTGCAGGAGGTCAGACTAGATGGTCCCTTCTGACCTTAAAGTCTATGAATGTATTTACGCTTCATTGTCAATCTGTAATTGCAGACGTAGAGATCCATGCATTAAAACTTCAGTCTTAAGCGTTCACAGCCACTTCTAATAACCTTTTCTGGATAGTCTCAAAATGTGAAGAATTAGGAGAGGATCAAAGTTATGGAAATATATGAAGTCATATGTCACCACAAGAAACGTTTATTTAGAACCCCTTTATTTAATTACCATGTACTTGCTACAGATTAATTGATAAGGTGGTGATGGGAAAGGGTTTTTAGACTCTTGAGAAAAAGGGACACTAACATAACCCAAGATCCAATAAACTTCAGCAGCAGACAAGTGTGAAGACATCCTGGCAGGAAGACTACAAAGCAGACCAATTTGTACCAGTATATTTTCTCCCTTGCAACAATTTTCATGTTTGTCTTCCTGTTTGCTCTGTAAGAACATGGGATATGCCTCTTAAGACTGTAGGATTACTTAGTCTGCACAGCAGTTACATCACTAAACTTCTTCACCAAACTACAAAGGGTGCCAGCCAAAAGAATAATTCACCTACCTTACAGAATAAGAACAGTGGGCATTTTAGCCACAAGAATGAAACCAATAAGACAGTGCATCTTATCACAACAGATCATCACCACACGTTGCATACACCAAATCTGTCACTCACGTGGTCCACTTGCGCCAAGTGGCTTATGTCTCTGTGTCAAGCCTTGCATGGATCCTTAAGTTGTTCCCTGTAGGAGCTACCCACCCCTGCACTCAGCTAGGAACCTACTGAGAATCTGCACCTGTCACTGCTGAAGCACCCCAAGTGTGCATGCCAGGGACTCCTTGCCCAAGCATTCACCAGAGCATGCTGTGGCTTCCTCGTTACATGTTCCAAAGTCTCTTCCCTGAGGTGACATTGCCCCAGCAGCAACTCTCCCACTGTTTGTGCTAGGGCCCCCATACGCACCTCACCTGCCCCCCGCAGGGCTCTCCCACTGCCTGTGTCAGGACCCCCAGCCACACCCTCACCTGAACCCCCAGGGCTCTCTATTCCCTGTGCCAGGACCTCCAGCCACACCCTCACCTGAACCCCCATGCTCTCTATTCCCTGTGCCAGGACCCCCAGCCACCTTCACCTGCCCGGGCTCTCCCACTGCCTGTGCCAGGCTCCCCAGCCGTACCCTCATCTGCCTCCCCGCAGGGCTCTCCCCTCTCTGTTCCAGGACCCCCAGCCACACCCTCACCTGCCCTCCCAAAGGCTCTGCCCTCCCTCTGCCAAGACCCACTAGCCACCTTCACCTGCCCTCCTCAGGGCTCTCTCCTCCCTGTGCCAGGCTCCCCAGCCTCACCCTCATCTGACCCCCCCCATGGCTCTCTCCTCCCTCTGCCAGGACCCCCAGCCTCACCCGCCCCCGCTCCCCCAGGGTTCTCTCCTCCCTGTGCCAGGTTCCCCAGCCTCATCCTCATCTGCCCCCCATGCCTCTGCCCTCCCTGTGCCAGGACCCCCAGCCAAACCCTCACCTGCCCCCCCCAGGGCTCCCAGCCACTTTCACCTGACCCCCCCAGGGCTCTCCCCTCCCTATGCCAGGACCCCCCAGCCACACCCTCACCTGCCCCTCCCCCAGGGCTCTCCCCTCCCTGTGCCAGGCTCCCCAGCCGCACCCTCACCTGCCCCTCCCCCAGGGCTCTCCCCTCCCTGTGCCAGGCTCCTCAGCCACACCCTCACCTGCCCCTCCCCCAGGGCTCTCCCCTCCCTGTGCCAGGCTCCTCAGCCACACCCTCACCTGCCCCTCCCCCAGGGCTCTCCCCTCCCTGTGCCAGGCTCCTCAGCCGCACCCTCACCTGCCCCACCCCCAGGGCTCTCCCCTCCCTGTGCCAGGACACCCAGCCACCTTCACTTGACCCCCCCCAGGGCTCTCTCCTCCCTGTGCCAGGGCCCCCAGACACACCCTCACCTGCTCCCCCAAGGCCTCTCCCCTCCCTGTGCCAGGACCCCAGCAATAGAATCATAGAATATCAGGGTTGGAAGGGACCTCAGGAGGTCATCTGCTCAAAGCAGGACCAATCCCCAATTAAATCATCCCAGCCAGGGCTTTGTCAAGCCTGACCTTAAAAATTTCTAAGGAAGGAGATTCTACCACCTCCCTAGGTAACGCATTCCAGTGTTTCACCACCCTCCTAGTGAAAAAGTTTTTCCTAATATCCAACCTAAACCTCCCCCACTGCAACTTGAGACCATTACTCCTTGTCCTGTCCTCTTCTACCACTGAGAATAGTCTAGAACCATCCTCTCTGGAACCACCTCTCAGGTAGTTGAAAGCAGCTATCAAATCCCCCCTCATTCTTCTCTTCTGCAGACTAAACAATCCCAGCTCCCTCAGCCTCTCCTCATAAGTCATGTGTTCCAGACCCCTAATCATTTTTGTTGCCCTTGCTGGACTCTCTCCAATTTATCCACATCTTTCTTGTAGTGTGGGGCCCAAAACTGGACACAGTACTCCAGATGAGGACTCACCAATGTCGAATAGAGGGGAATGATCACGTCCCTCGATCTGCTCGCTATGCCCCTACTTATACATCCCAAAATGCCATTGGCCTTCTTGGCAACAAGGACACACTGCTGACTCATATCCAGCTTCTCGTCCACTGTCACCCCAGGTCCTTTTCCGCAGAACTGCTGCCTAGCCATTCGGTCCCTAGTCTGTAACTGTGCATTGGGTTCTTCCGTCCTAAGTGCAGGACCCTGCACTTATCCTTATTGAACCTCATCAGATTTCTTTTGGCCCAATCCTCCAATTTGTCTAGGTCCCTCTGTATCCTATCCCTGCCCTCCAGCGTATCTACCACTCCTCCCAGTTTAGTATCATCCGCAAATTTGCTGAGAGTGCAATCCACACCATCCTCCAGATCATTTATGAAGATATTGAACAATACCGGCCCCAGGACCGATCCCTGGGGCACTCCACTTGACACCAGCTGCCAACTAGACATGGAGCCATTGATCACTACCCGTTGAGCCCGACAATCTAACCAACTTTCTACCCACCTTATAGTGCATTCATCCAGCCCGTACTTCTTTAACTTGCTGACAAGAATACTGTGGGAGATCGTGTCAAAAGCTCTGCTAAAGTCAAGAAACAATACATCCACTGCTTTCCCTTCATCCACAGAACCAGTAATCTCATCACAGAAGGCGATTAGATTAGTCAGGCATGACTTTCCCTTGGTGAATCCATGCTGACTGTTCCTGATCACTTTCCTCTCATGTAAGTGCTTCAGGATTGATTCTTTGAGGACCTGCACCATGATTTTTCCGGGGACTGAAGTGAGGCTGACTGGCCTGTAGTTCCCAGGATCCTCCTTCTTCCCTTTGTTTAAGATTGGCACTACATTAGCCTTTTTCCAGTCATCCGGGACTTCCCCCGTTCGCCATTAGTTTTCAAAGATAATGGCCAGTGGCTCTGCAATCACAGCCGCCAGTTCCTTTAGCACTCTCGGATGCAACTCGTCTGGCCCCATGGACTTGTGCACGTCCAGCTTTTCTAAATAGTCCCTAACCACCTCTATCTCCACAGAGGGCTGGCCATCTACTCCCCATGTTGTGATGCCCAGCGCAGCAGTCTGGGAGCCACTTTCACCTGACCCCCGCAGGGCTCTCCCTCCCTGCGCCAGGCTCCCCAGCCGCACCCTCACCTGCCCCCCCCTCCCGCAGGGCTCTCCCCTCCCTGCGCCAGGCTCCCCAGCCGCACCCTCACCTGCCCCTCCCCCAGGGCTCTCCCCTCCCTGTGCCAGGCTCCCCAGCCGCACCCTCACCTGCCCCCCCACCCCCAGGGCTCTCCCCTCCCTGTGCCAGGCTCCCCAGCCGCACCCTCACCTGCCCCTCCCCCAGGGCTCTCCCCTCCCTGTGCCAGGCTCCCCAGCCGCACCCTCACCTGCCCCCCCACCCCCAGGGCTCTCCCCTCCCTGTGCCAGGCTCCCCAGCCGCACCCTCACCTGCCCCCCTCCCCCAGGGCTCTCCCCTCCCTGTGCCAGGCCCCCCAGCCGCACCCTCACCTGCCCCCCCTCCCGCAGGGCTCTCCCCTCCGTGTGCCAGGCTCCCCAGCCGCACCCTCACTGCCCCTCCGCCAGGGCTCTCCCCTCCCTGTGCCAGGCTCCCCAGCCGCACCCTCACTGCCCCTCCCCCAGGGCTCTCCCCTCCCTGTGCCAGGCTCCCCAGCCGCACCCTCACCTGCCCCCCCACCCCCAGGGCTCTCCCCTCCGTGTGCCAGGCTCCCCAGCCGCACCCTCACCTGCCCCCCCACCCCCAGGGCTCTCCCCTCCCTGTGCCAGGCTCCCCAGCCGCACCCTCACCTGCCCCTCCCCCAGGGCTCTCCCCTCCCAGGGCCCCCAGCCACACCCTCACCTGCCCTCCCACCCCCAGGGCTCTCCCCTCCCTGTGCCAGGCTCCCCAGCCGCACCCTCACCTGCCCCTACCCCAGGGCTCGCCCCTCCCTGTGCCAGGCTCCCCAGCCACCCTCACTTGCCCCCTGTGCCAGGCTCCCGCCGGCTGCTCGTTTCACCTGAGCCTGCCCCATGTGCCTCTCCCCCGCCCGGCGCCAGACGCGCTGTCCCGACTCGCCCGGGCTCCTGCGCGCCAGGCACCCCACCGCTCCTGCCCCCCGCCTGCCGTTGCCTCGGCGCCCCCAGGGGGCTGCCCTCACCTGAGCTGGACCCTGCCGTGGCTCCCGGCTCGCTGCGCCAAGTCTCTCCAGCCCCTGCCCGGAGCTGCGCGGTCCAGCACGCCACTGAGCCGCCGGAGCAGCGGCTCCCTGAGCAGGTTAATGGGCAGCGACCCCAGCGGGGCCACGGGCGAGACCGACATCGCGGGGAGCAGAGACCCCTGCGAGCGGCCCCGGGAGCGGTTTGAACCTCCCCCGCGCCTCAGGCTCCGGGAACGGGGCGGAGGTGGCGCCTGCACCCGGAAGGAGCCAGCCGGGGATTCCCGCCCCAGCAACCACCCGCCGGGCGAGCAGGGAGCTGCTGGGTCTCGTCTGTCTTCGCCACCCTCCCTCGCCCTGCGGTGTCAGCCCCGCCCGACCGCCGCGACGGCCCCGTTTCCTGGGCCAGCCCCTCTCCTCACTTCAACCTGCCCGGGCTGAGGCTCCTCTTTACTTTGTCAGCCCCTTCGGCTCTGTGCCCCAGCCTCTGGTTCCCCCAGACATGCCTGTGCCAGCCCTTCCGAGAGTCTGAACCTACCGGGGTCCCCCCCGTGCCTCCCCACGCTTCATCTCACTTCAGCTTGACCCTGCTGTTCTCTCCACTCACTATGCCAGCCCTCATCTCCCTTTCCCTGCATGACTACCTAGTCTCTGTGCCTGCCCCCCAGAGCCCCTTATGGAGATCCTCACCCAGCTGTGCCTCCCAGCTCCCCACAGCCCTTCCCTCAGTCTAACCATGCCATGATTGCCCCACTCTTTCAACTTGTCCTGGCCTGTCCCTTGCTAAAGCATCACTCTGCTATGGGTCCCCCGCAACCACTCACCTGAGTTCAGCCAGACCCTGGAATGGCTCCCCACTCCCTGTACCAGTCCAGTTCACCTCAGCCTGATCCTGCCATGGGGCCTTGCTCACCGCCCCATGTCCCAACTCCTCTCAGTACTACCCAGGCCACCAAGTTGCTACATTGTTGTAGTAGCTAATTAGTAGTCAGAGACACCCTCCTCTTATCCCCCCCTACCCCCCATGGAGTATGGATCATTAGGCTGATAGTTTGGAAGGACGGGCATGCCCTCAGGCTAAGCTCCAGGGAGAGCTTTGAAATGCCCATACACTACCAACAGGGCCTATATCTGGGTGAAACATACATAAATATGTTCCTCTTTGGATCCTGAAGGGGAGTTCCAAAGAGGATGGAGCTTGGCTGTTCTCAGTGGTGGCAGATGGCAGAATAAGAAGCAGTGGTCTTAAGTTGAAATGGGGGAGGTCTAGGTTGGATTTTAGGAAACACTGTTTCACTAGGAAGGTGGTGAACCACTGGAATGGGTTACCTAGGGAGGTGGTGGAATCTCCATCCTTAGAGGTTTTTAAGGCCCGGCTTGACAAAGCCCTGGCTGGGATGATTTAGTTGGTGTTGGTCCTGCTTTGAGCAGGGGATTGAACTAGATGACCTCCTGAGGTCTCTTCCAACCCTAATATTCTATGATTCTATAATTTGGAAGTTTTTTTATTCTAGAAACATTAAGCTGTAATTTCAGTCTGTGAATGAAAACTTCAGCTGTTCTAACAAGTGAAAGGGAAATAATGAAACCATCAAGGTTTTTGTTATGCTCATTAGGAAACAACAAAAGCCTAGAAGCAAAGTTTGAGGGTGGGAGGCTCAGATGCATCTATGTCCTCATTCCTGCTCTGCTTAGGCCTGCTGCAAATAGAAGCAGCTACTGGCCCTGCCCTTTGTCATGATGAAGTTGAAGGTACCTAGACATGGGGAAAAGCTTTCTTATGAAAAACAAAACAGAAAGGGGAGAGTCAACCTGGTCTTTAAAATAGGCAAAATTAGCTTTATATTTCAGAAAATAAACCATTTACACTCCTGGGGCCTCACTTTTATGACAGGTGACTAACAATTAAAAATGAGTTTAGCCACACTTCAAGTTGAATTCTGGATGCCAGGGGAGACCCACGGTCAGAGGCTACCCAGAGGATGTGTATCTATATAGATTGCCAGTGATTTGTTTCAATCACTTAAAAATAAATTCTCTGTATTTTACCATCTATTTCAATCAATCGCCAAGTTTTCAAACTTGGGTGCCTAAAGTTAGTCACCTAAATAAGTGGCCTGATTTTCAAAGATCCCTGGCAGCACCTGCAGCTCCCATTGACTTCAATGGGTATTCAGCACCTATGAAAATCAGGCCACCTATTGAGGTGCCTAAATATGTAGTTAGGTCGCTAACTGTAGGCACTCAAATTGGATGATTTTAGCCAACGCCATGTACTCTGATTCTCATTTGTTCACATTTTGTTTTCCTTGAAACACTACTAATCTGAAAGCAAGATAATTGAATTGTTAAATAACAATACTTTGTTCTTCAATATTACTTTCTATCTCAGGAGCTCAATGTGGAGCTCATTGCAACCTCATTGCACCTCTTTTTAAACCAATGTGACATGTTAAACTGAGGCAAAGACATGACAAGAGGCTTGACTTGCTGGTGACATGTAATGATCTACTGGTAAAGCCAGGAATAGAGCACAGGAGCCTTCCCAGTGATGTGCTGTAACCGAGAGAGACAGCTGAGTATACCCAGCACCTTTACTCCCCTGAAAACCAAGCTGCTTTTACTTAGATGCCTAAATATATGTTTACAGAGATTTTCAAAGGCACAAATGGCAACTAAGTAGCTAACTCCCAATTACTGTCAATGGGAGAGTGGACCCTAATTGCTATTGTTCCTTAGACATTCTAAGGGGAGATTTTCAAACTTCAGGCACCAACCCTGGGAATTTTTTGCATAAGGTATCCTCAGTTAAAATTTTTCTTTTTAATTTCCAAGCTAACCCTATCATCCGGATATCCAAACGCCTCCATCTGTGTGTCTTGTACAGTGCCAAGATCACTGCAGACACTTAATCAATAATTAAAACTGACCCTTTAAAACCCCCTTTGTTAACCTCCAGATTTATGTCAGATTGTGGGAATTTTTCCTGTATGTTGTTTTACTGAATACTGGCATTCCTCTCCTACTTGACGGTGTTTCTGTTCTCTTTGGCAGTAGCACGTGCAGCAATGACCACTCTGAGAAAGGGTTAGCATTATAATAGAGCACCTTTCATGAACAGGGGCAGTGTGCCCATGCCTGTGGCTGGCTGTTCTAGGATGTATAATGCTAGCACGTTAGGTTTTTGTTGGTTTCAGTGCTTTATCACTTCCAGCTGTGCCCTCTGTTCCCCCAGCATTCTTCCCCCACAAAAGAAGCTTAAGCAGAACCTCCAGTTTTTAGAGCCTTTTTTCCCTCTTCTAGTAAAGGCAGCATGGGATGAAATCCTGACCCTATTAAAGTTAATGTAGCCTGGATTTCATCCAGGATATTAAGGTACATTCATATGCAAATATCTGCTTAGGAGGAGGAGGACTTCATTACACATTGTGGTTATTTACATTCCGTATGATTAATATTTGTAGTAAGTTGCTTTCAAAGTTGTTTATTGTGTTACCCCTACAGGAGGCACTTCATCTAAAAGTTATTTTTTCTAAATTGTCAATCTTCAGACACCATGCTGTAAAATATAGTTAATGAGGGGCAGCGTATGTAAGTCTTTACTACCTGACAGCTCCTTCGTGGCCTTGAAGTGAGTTTGATATGTCTCAGTCCAGTTTCTACTGAGCAATGATTGACCTGATCACAAAAACAACTGCTCCAGTTGATACTAATTGACACCCTTGATGGTAGTTGTAAGTTCGAGTGAACATTCCCTTTAGACCATGCTTATGGAACAACCAAGAAAAAGATTGTTATTAGAGACTCCAGCCTAGGTTTTACACAAAGCCTAGGCATCCTGAGACAGGACTAGCTATATACTTAGCTACCTAACTGCCTGATTAAGGCCTTGTTTACACTACAGATGTTGACACTCAAAAATCGCTATAATAATAATTGGCTTGTCATGTTCACACTCACTCCCTCTGTCAGCAGAGCGCGTCCACAATTGGGGCACTATCACTGACCGTGTGAGCAATGCACTGTGGGTACCTATCCCACAGTCCAGCTCGACACCTTCTGCGTCTAGGTGTTGTAGGAAGGCAGAGCAGATCACTGCACATCTTCGGACTGGGCTCAATGTGCTATGATGCATTGCTTTCTGTCCCAGCATTCCATGGGCTTCTGGCTTTCTTGCATGACATATTGCAATGGTCCTTGTTTGCTGTGCACCCCAGCATCTTTGTGAGAAGCGATGGATTCTGTACTACTCTCCTATGCGCTGATAACTAGAGAAGGGCAACAAAGGTGTGACAAGATTATGAGTATCAACAGATGGCTTAGGCAGTGGTGCTATAAGGAGGGCTTTGGGATGTATGGCCACTGGGAGGCATTCATGGACAGAGGACAGTTCTCTCGGGATGGACTTCATCTGAGTAGGGAAGGAAATAGACTTCTAGGATGGAGGCTGGCACAACTGATTAAGAGAGCTTTAAACTAGGAATTTGGGGGAGATGGTTGGGAGAGGTCCAGGTAATCTCCACGCCGGATTTTAGCATTGAGAGGAAAGAAAACAAAGTAAGAGAGGATACAGCCATGGGTAGGAGGAAGGGCAGTGTAGATACCAGTCTAATAGGTTATATTGGCTGTAGAATGACCGTGCCTAATAGGGTACAGAATGTGAGTGAGGCCAAACAGCAAAAATTAAGATGTTTGTACACCAATGCGAGGAGCCTAGGTAACAAAATGGAGGAACTAGAGCTACTGGTGCAGGAAGTGAAACCAGATATTATAGGGATAACAGAAACATGGTGGAATAGTAGTCATGACTGGACTACAGGTATTGAAGGGTATGTGCTGTTTAGGAAAGACCGAAATAAAGGTAAAGGTGGTGGAGTAGCATTGTATATCAATGATGAGGTAGAATGTAAAGAAATAAGAAGCGATGAAATGGATAAGACAGAGTCCGTCTGGGCAAAAATTACATTGGGGAAGAAAACTATTACAGCCTCCCCTGGGATAGTGCTTGGGGTGTGCTATAGACCGCCGGGATCTAATTTGGATATTGATAGAGTCCTTTTTAATGTTTTTAATAAAGTAAATACTAATGGAAACTGTGTGCTCATGGGAGACTTTAACTTCCCAGATATAGACTGGAGGACGAGTGCTAGTAATAATAATAGGGCTCAGATTTTCCTAGATGCGATAGCTGATGGATTCCTTCATCAAGTAGTTGCTGAACCGACTAGAGGGGATGCCATTTTAGATTTGCTTTTGGTGAGTAGTGAGGACCTCATAGAAGAAATGG